CTGTGTGAGAGATATTAAGGAGGAGAAACGATACACAAAATCAGTGCATCTATGAGCTAACTCCAGTGGTGAATTTAAGGAAAAGCTTTGGTGTTATCCAGATTAAAATTGAAGTAGAATGCTGTAGCGTTTCCAGAAACAAGAGGCACTGGTTGGTCCCCAGGACAGGAAATACTGATGTTGACTTTCAAGATGGAAACAATGACTTCTGCCCACTCCCCACCCTCCTTTCTTACACTTAGAAATCTGGCATTAAAATGAAAGGCAAACCAAAGAAGAAATGGTAGGTGACAATCAGAGAAAAGACCGTGTCAACAAAATCCCAGCTCCAAATTCTGAGCGCTGGTACTCCAAATACATATACAGTTTGATGCACAGAGTGGTATTGGGATCTAGGAACACATTAGAGATTATGTGAGTAAAGGAAGCACTGGACCAGGAGAGCCAGGCTGCCCTTGGAATCACTGGGGAAGGAGAATCTTGATTACATTTGCTTACTAGGATTACCCTCCTGCAGGTTAATCAATACCTAATAGGATGCAGAAGGGTTTTTTTAAATGTTCAATTCAGAGGTCCATTTAAAAAACTATATGCTCACTGTTGGTTAAGGCACACAGCTGATTTTGTTAATATATATGAGGACCTGTGTCTAAAGAACTCAAAGTTAGCATTAAACTCATAACTACTAAATTAACAGGCACATATATAACATAAACTTTCTCAAATACAGGGCGTTGTCATGTTTAAAACCCTACTTGTTCATTGAACACCACGTTATGCAAAAAGATCTAAGAAAACAGCTGTCAATTAATATTTGAATAAGATACAGTCAATCTATGCCAATTAATGGAGCAATACTGGAACCTATGTCCCAAAACTAACTTGAAGATCGTTCTACAAAAGATTCTGGCAGGAAAAAAGAAGAATATATATATATATATATATACACACACACACATATATATATACATATATATATACATATATATATATACACATATATATAGAAACACACACACACACACACAGATTCTTTTCAGAAAGCTTCTCGGAAATGTGGTCTTCATCATATGAATGCAGTGTTCGTGTGTGTGCTGCCTGATTTGACTCCCAGCTTTCTGCCATTGCACTGGTGTTTGGGGGGTTTTGTTCTCATACTACATAAAATCTTTTAATTGTTCAATGTGTGCAAAATAAAATGCAAACAGTACAACTCAATTATTTTCCTTCGAACTGATGGTCATGTTTCTCAGTTTCCATCAGTTGTTTTAACAAAAACTTTTCTATCAAAATCATCTGCAAAGAATTGAAATTATCCTTTCAACATTTGTTTTCCAAAATCCCTGCTCTGTTTTCTCTTTGAAATTCAAAATTACTAATATACCATATTGCAAATATAAATGCCTTTCTCCAGAAAGCTCTAGTGGCCAAGTAGAAATGTTTCCCTTCGGATGGAGGAAATGGCATTTTATGATTAAATTAGTTCGAGCAACACAGCTCTGCATGTTATATATTGCAGAGCTGTGATTTTCTAGCAGATGGCTTCGACATTTTTATACTGAGGCAAGTTTTAGTTTTCCAACCTCAGTTAAAATCTTTAAAATGTTTGCTTTGGAAGGAATTACTACACAATGGGAAAAGAACCATATGCAATACCTTATCATTCAGGAAAAATATTCCGTTTGGAAACTGGATTTCATTATGGCCTGTTTTGTGTAAGCAGGCTGCAGGTTCGGTTGCTCCACACATTGTTAGAGCTGTACAAGTGTCTGCTTTTCGTTACCCTCCCCGCACAGCCTGGCCCTCTGAACCCCAGTGCCTGCATCTGTGCGCATACATGCTGTGATTCATTACAATAACAGGAATTTGCTGCTGTTATGATTGAGATAAATCAGCTTTGAGGTCTGGGCAGCCATTCTGATAACCATGGCTCCACCTCAAATTTGCTGCCTGGTCTTAAGTCATCGGCAATACAGTCTGGTCGACAAAGCAAACACACAGATACTATATTTTCTTAGGAATTAAAATAAAATAGATACTGTGGGCCAGGAATGTTACTAATATCTTTCCCTACATTAATTAATTTAACCCTTACAACATCCTTAGGAGTTAAGTCCTTCTCTTATCTGCCTTAGATATAATAAGGGATTGCTTGCCCACAGCACCCAGTTGGTGTTCAGCTCAGCTTGATCCCTGGGTCCTGGCTCTGAACAGCTCTTATGACACTCTGTCACCTCACCATCTTGGCTCCAGGGTGAGGACTGTAGTCCCCCACTGTTCATTTCTGTAGTGGGTCCTGCAGGGAGGAAGAACCAGACTTGGTCATCCACATTCTCCCCAACCCCAATTACCTGTCTGTACCTTGGGCTGGGTCCATCACTGGCCATGGCATAGACTGGTCTCTTGGCAAAGCTGAGGGGAGGTCAGCCAACCTATAGTTTTCTAAGTTTTCTGCCTGTCTCCTCCCACTAGCAATGCTAACTATGACTTTATTTATTTATTTATTTTTTGAGACAGGGTCTCGCTTTGCCACCCAGGCTAGAGTGCAGTGACATGATCACAGCTCACTGCAGCCTCCACCTCCTGAGCTCAAACAATCCTCCTGACTCAGCCTCCTGAGTAGCTGGGACAACAGGAGCATGCCACCACACCAGGTACTGGGTCTCACTATGTTGCCCAGGCTGCTCCCAAATTCCTGGACTTGAACAATCCTCCCAAATGTTGGGATTACAAGCATGAGCCACCATTCCTGGCCTCTTCTATCTAGTTTTATATTTGCTTCCACAACAGAGAATTTTAATACTTTCCTTTCTGTAGTACATACTAAGAAATTATTTACTCTTCATCTAAAATTCAAATTTAACTAGGCATCTTGTGTTTTATTTGCTCACTCTGGCCACCCTAACTAGGTGGTCACCAATGCAGAATGCACTGGCCTCCTTAAACAGCAGGGCAAGGTCACAGAGGGCCTGGACCCTGGTGCTCCCCACTTCTCCTAGTGCTCCCCACTTCTCCTAGTGCCCCTTACCTGGTGTCCCACGTGGAGTCCACCCATCACTCCTGCTCACCTGACTACAGACTGTGCCATCCACTTGCTGCCAGCCGGTCTCGCTCAGACGTCCCCGCTACATGAGCCCTTCCCTGCCCACCCCATCTTGTACACCCTATATATTCATTTATTACATATTTATGTATTTCATCCACCCAATTAGACAGCAGGGACCTGGATTGCCTGGGGCACCGGGGCAGCCCCCTCTAGCACATGGTCAGCTTCCTATCAGCAACTGTGCATGGATCAATCCTCCAGGAAGCCTGAGTATTTCTCGATACACTAACAAGGCTATTACACACGGTGCCTAATAAGGGACATACCAGTGGTCTCACCAGCCATCCTTCAGGTGTGAAGCTCCACAGCCATGCCAAGGACTCTTGGGACAACACACTGACAGTGCACATCACTCTCCCTCTCAACTTGAGGGCCAATTGGCAGCTTCTCTGTCACTTACCACAGTTGCCTTGCAGTTCCTTGCATGTCTGTGTTATCTCCCTGGCCAGACTGAGTTTACACAGAGCAGAAGTTTACACCACTTCCTGGTGCCCCTCGCCATGTAGGCTGAGCAACCCAGAAGCACTGACTCCATGGTTTGGGTTGCATTGTACACATGTTCAAGCATTCACATGCTCCTCGGATCTCTGCACAGGCCAGGCTGGCCATCATCGGGTCATGGCAGATGGGGCCTAACAGACACTGCACAGACACAGTGTAGACATGGCAGTCAGGATGGAGCACTCATCCTGTGGGGCTTGATGCCATAAGCCAGCTGGGAGGGCAGGTAGCAGGAGCTTAGCTGGAGTTGCCACCAAGGGGAGGCGCGTCTTCACTGACGAAGCCCAGAGTTTGACAACAGGACAGAAGAGTAATCAGAGAAGGGTAATGTAGTTCTTGTGTTTCCCAGGCCTCTCAAAACTATCTGAAGAGGGTACTTTTTGTCAGATGCTCTACTAGTCACTAAAATACAGACCCTAATTTTGGGGGGCTTGTGGTTTTCTCCCACCCTCCTCTCAGCTGTCACCATCTGGAGGATGAGGATACCACGTGCTTTGTCAACTTGGCTGCCTGGTGCCTAATAAAGAGTTGGCCTTGGTAAGAGTCATTGTTCTGGCTCCATGTTCTTCTAAGAGAATGGACTAGAACAAAAGGGATAGACTTGGAAAAGGAATTGGTCAAAATCACATAAGCAAGAACCTGTTAGTAGGCGAAATTCTCCAGCAGTGGAATGGGCCTCCCTTTGGGAGGATGTATTTCCTTTTTCTGAATGTGGCCAAGCATGGTTGGGCCACCTCCTAACAAGAACCCTGCGGAGGAAACTCAGGCATGTCTGTCATGCCTCTCAGGCTTCTCATGACCCAGGAGGCTCTGTGTTCCCTTGGTGGTGATGCTGCTGTTTTCAGAGTCTTTTCAGGAACTGTGTACAGTATTAGCATTCTCCAGAGAAACAGAATAATAAGATAGAGAGAAAGAGAGAGACATCTCTATTTTGATATAGATAAAAAGAGACCGATTGTGGGAACTGGCTCAAGGGATTGTGGAGGCTGATAGGTCCCACTACCTGCCATTGGCACCCTGGAGCCCAGGAAAGCCGGTGGTGTGATTTGGCCCAAACCTGAAGGCCTGAGAATCAAGAAACCCAACAGTATAGGTTCAAACCTGAGTCCCCAGGCCTGAAAACCAGGAGTGCTAATGTCTGCAGGCAGGAGAAGCGGGGCAACCCAGCCCAAGGAGAGAGAGAGAGAATTTTCCCTTCTTCTACCTTTTGGTTCTATTTGGACCCTCAGCAGACTGGACGGTGCCCAATCACACTGGTGATGGCGGACCTTCTTACTCAGTCCATTGATTCAAACCCTCAGCTCTTCTGGAAACACCCTCACAGGCACACCCAGAAATAATGTCTGACCAGCTATCTGCATCTTTAATCTAGTCAAGTCGACACATAAAAGCA